AAACAGGCGCCAGGCTCTGAGCTGGCTGTCAGCACAGAGCCCGACGCAGGGCTCGAACCCACGAACCGCGAGATCATGACCTAAGCGAAAGTCGGATGCTTAACCGACTAAGCCACCCAGGCGCCCCCTGTATTCTAAGCTTCTTAAGAGCAGAGCCTATCAATATGTGAGAACATTGAGGTGTCAATTAAATAGGTAGGGGAGGATCCTTTCACAATGTATATGTACATCAAATGTGCACATTTTTTAAAGTTTATTTATTCATTTTGAGAGAGACAGAGACAATGTGAGTGGGGAAGGGGCGGAGAGGGTGTTGGAGAGAGAGGATTTCAAGCAGGCTCCATGCTGCCAGCACAGAGCCCCACACAGGGCTCAAACTCACAAAACCATGAGATCATAATCTGATCCAAAACCAAAAGTGTGAAGCTTAGCCAACTGAGCCACCCAAGAGCCTCATCAAATGTACATTTTAAATATCTTATAGTTTGTGGGATGCCTGGGTGGCTCAGTCAGTTGAGCTTCCAAATTTTGATTTCAGCTCAGGTCATGATCCCAGGGTCATGGGATCGAGCCCTGCATTGGGTCCACGCTGAGTGTGGAACTTTCTTATGACTCTCTCTCTCTCCCCTCTCTCTCTCTATCTGCTTTGTTCTCCCCTGCTCGCACTCTCACTCTCTTGAATTAAAAAATAATCTTACAGTTTTGTCAATTGTATTTCAATAAAGCTGAAAATTTAAAAGAAATATCCATTTTTTTTTTAGAAAAGGACAGAAACTATATACTGTCTAAGTTCCCTTCATCTAAGGCTGTATTTTATACATAGTAAGAATCTGAAAATTCACATTAGAAATATCTACATGTTTAGATTCAAGTCCTAACACTTCAGTTTTCTGGCTCTAGGACATTAAGCCAGCTGCTTAACTTTTACAACTGTGCTTTCTTATCTGATACTTAGATGATATCTCCCTGGCCTAATCCCCAGTTATCAGAAGCATCAGAAATTTCTGAAAATGTTTTGTAAACTGCAAATCACAAGAATTCCTGGGAAATCATAAGCACCTCCCTGAACTGTAGTGTATATACAACAAGAATTAGTTTCCCCCTCTTTTGCTAGACTTTTGAATTCCTGAAATAATTCTTCCCATCTTATGATTTGATTAATGGTGTTTAGTATACAGTTCCATGTAGCTGATTCTGTTCTTCAGAGAGCACCAGTTTGTTTGGTAACATTTATTCTGGTGAATAAGAATCAAAATGTGGAGTTTCAACTTTGGTAACATGCATGGAATTGTATAATGAAGTGCTATATTGGCCCTAAGTTTTTAATCACAAGTAAAATCTACTAATATTTGAATCTCACCTATGCGATAAAAATTGCATTAGGTGATATGGAGAAATGATAAACAATAAGATATTATTCATTCCCTAAACAGCTATCTAGCTGAAAGGATATCATAAATAAGTAAAAACAATTAAAATTTAGAAGTACAAGAACAGTTGAAACCTATAAATAGTAGATATACTCAAAGGTGAACCAGATCTTCAGGACTAGAGGCTGGGAAAATGGCCATGAGATGCGAGCAAGCAGCGTTGAGATGGGTGAGTACTCTGTGCCAGCAGAGAAAATTAATGAAATACAGATTCCTGTATTTAATACAAGCATATGGGTGATGAGTAAACCAGTTTGGCTGCAAATTCTACAAGACCTGAAGAAACGGCTAGAATTTAGGTGAGAAAAATTTTGAAGGACCTTGGAGGTCTGATGATAGAGCTTTAGGAAAATGAGTGAGGACAAGAGACATGTCTGAATCTTCGGTCAAATACTTGCAAGCGTAAAAAACATGAACCTGTTATTTCTCTGAACCTCAGTTTCTTCATCTATGAAATGGGAAATTTTGTTAAGGTTGAGAGTTGATGTCTGTTAAAACCATTCTATTGGTGGTAAAAAACTACAAATATTGTGAAGGTTATTTTTTTAATCTCCCTACAAACTTTTAGTGATTCCAAGATTCATAGAGGAGCATTATAAAACCAAAATAATTCTTAGGAAAGATTAAATTTGAAGTAGAGAGTGCATGAGGAGAAATGATTTTGGGAGAATCAATTTAAGAGCTCACCACAGTAATCTTGATGGCATGTGGTCATTCTAAACCAGGAGCATGCAGAGTGGAAACCAGAGAGGAATTAAAGAATATAGGGGGTTTGGAGTAAGAAAGCACCAGAGAGGATTTGAAGTTTTATCACCGGGAGAATGGCAGTAAATTAACAAAAATGGAGGGAAAAGTTCTGGCTTTATAGATATTGATATATACAAATTAAAATCTGAGTAATTATAAGATTTGACGGCCAATGCCAATATATTGGCTGAGAATATTCTGATTTAGAGAATAAAAATCAAAGTGTTTAGCCAAATGAATCAAATTATTTTTGAAATAGGTAGTAAAATAGAGAAGACAAAAGGTAATATTAAGTAGTAGCTCCTAATACTGGCTCTTCACCTACATCATCTTGTCAAACCCCCACAACAATCCGCAAGCATGGATTCTATATCCATTTTGCAGATGAAGAAACTGAATTCAGAAAGGTCAGATAACTTTTGTAAGTTCAGCTTCAGCAGGGTGCAGGGAAAAGGCAGGTGACTGCTTGCTCAAGGATAGCACCCTTTCCTGATACCTCTTGAAACCTACCTGGGCGGCACCTGGGTGGCTCAGTCAGTTAAGCATCCAACTTCAGCTCAGGTTATGATCTCATAGCTTATGAGTTAAAGCCCCACATTGGGCTTTGTGCTGACAGCTCAGAGCCTGGAGCCTGCCTCAGATTCTGTCTCCCTCTGTCTCCCTCTCTTTCTGTGATATAAATAAACATTAAACAACAGATAGATAGATAGATAGATAGATAGATAGATAGATAGATAGATAGACAGATAGAACCTACCTGCAGTGTGAACGCTCTGGACATTCACTTTTATAGAGAGCCCCAAAAAGAAGCTGCACAGAAAAAAAAAAAATTATCATTCTCTAATAATGATCTGCTCACAAGTTAATAGAAGATAATCATGGTGTCCCAGATCATTATCCTGTCTCAGTAGCCAGGTGACCTCAGATAATTCCCTGAACCCAGTGACTGCAACCCACAGAAGACCCATTTTTACATTACAACTTGAATGCACACATCTGTATATGCTACTCGGTGTTATATACTCTGATATTTGTTACAGTAGCCTAATCTAATCCTTTTATTCTTTGCTGTTTGCGACTTATTAAATTGATTTAGTTGGTAGTGATCCCAGTTTGGAAAACACTCTATTGCCTCATTTGAATAAAAAGAGAAACGTCACTCGCCACAGTACTTCTCTGGATAAAAAAGCAGTGTAATTTTCCAACGTCTGCTTTGTGGGTGGTTCCATTGTTTTCTAGCGGTTTGGGAGGTTCCACACCATACTCTTTTCAAAAATCATTCAAATTAATGTGTTAAAGGCTTTCAGTTCCTACAGCTAAGAAGCCTGTTTATTCCAAATTTATCTGACCACAAAATCCTTTTTATCACAAACCTATTTAAATAAGCCCTTGGGGACATGCAGAGAAAAAATTACGTTGAACCCATTTTGAAAACTATAAAACTACATGCATTGTTGACATTATTGGCAGTCTATCATCATCTCAGAGCAAACATTTCAGATCCTGAGATTTTCTTAGAATCTGAATGCAAGTGTCCCTTGGATTATTTTCATGCTGGGAAGCAAAGGTTCCTTCTACTTCATTTGTCTCTCCACTGACCACAGTATTACAAGATTCCGGTGGGGTCTGAAACACTTGAGATGTTGAATTTCAGGATCTCACTGGCAGCTGAAAGGTTTGGAAGTTATTTTGCTTAGAAGAAACATATGCCACATGACCAAAATATCATGGTTTTGAAAGGAATAACATTTGTGTTTCTTCTGTTGGCAAATATTCCTCAGTGCTGAGAATCCAAACTGTCAAATTGTATAAAAATCTGAACTGCCAGAATAACAGCCAAATAAGACGTGGCAAAAAAAAAAGGGGGGGGGGGAGAAGGGGGTATAATTTTTTAAAAATTCAGTTAATTAAATAGGTAATTGAGCAAATAAATTCTGTCATCAGATAAAGAATATTTCCAATGAATAATATACTCCAGATACTACGGAAGTCTGCCTGTCCACTGAGTCTCAGATACGGAAGAAACACTTGAGTGCCTAATTGCAAATCCACTCATCAGCTCTCAGAGTAAAGGATGTCATATCAAGCCTTTCTTGGGACAACCACTGCTTACTCCTCTGGCTTCATTGCTTACCTCTCCTCTCCCACTTAATGCCTCGGCAATTACCTGGCATTCAAAAACATTGCCATTTACAGGATGTCTAGCATGGTCTTCTGGAAATGATGTTAGATTTTAAGATAAGTAGATCTATCTCCTAAATCAAGCCTTACTTTTATATGACTCCACCATTTAGCCCTGAGACTATTAACCCACTGAGACTCAGTTCCTTCATCTATAATAAATATTATAATACAGATAGTATAGATAATACAGATATTATTGATGACCACCCATTCCACCTCCCATAGCCATGGTAAACATCACTAATAAAGTTCTCTTTCCATCAAGCTGGGATGGAACCTTAGTATCCTTCTCTCCAGTTTTCTGAGCAGCTATTTCCAAATATCTACAACTGGCTCAGGTAAACTCAGGAGTAGGTGGTTGTTATGTTCTTTTCAGTCTTGTTAAATAATTCTAGATATTTTAGATAATTGAAATTCTTCTGTTATACCAGAATATCTGTATTAACATTGCATTTTTTTATTGCTTTAGAGAGGAACACTCAAGGCTATATCATATAAATACCTTACGTTAAGATCTAATAAGATAATAATAATTTAATATGCATTTATCATAACATTACAATAAATTCAATTAATGTTGTAAAAGCTATATATGCATGTTCAAATTTTAATTTGATTTGAGGTTTCATTTTATTTCAGATGTGAAAATTCATCTCCAGACCACTGATTATGGCAACTTCTTGGCTAATCAAACAAATCCTCTTACTGTTTCCAAAATTGACACAGAGATGAGGAAAAAGCTATGCAGAGAATTTGAATATTTCCGGAATCATTCCCTGGAACCCCTGAGCACATTTTTTACATACATGACGTAAGTAGTAGCAGGAAGCCCTTTTAATCCCCAATGTGATTGTGCAAATGACCCCTAACAGTTATAGGTGGGGTACTAGGCTGGCATGAGGCCTAAAACCTTTTTCTGATTTGTAAGTTTGAATCATTTTAACAACTGATAAGCTCACAGAGCCACATATGCACTGTTAGAAAATAGATTTATTTATAAACATGATCATGTAGATGGTGGTGGCCTCCACATAAAGCAGTATTTTCAGAGGCAACTGCCTGGCTCAACTGGTAGAGGATGCGACTCTTGATCTCAGGGTCATGAGTTCAAGCCCCACATAGGATGTAAAGCTTAGTAAAAACAGCAAAACAAAACTGTTTTCAGTTTTCATTTTGAAAAGTGATAAGTGGTGCTGATGTTGAAGGCTTGTGGCTGCTGACACTGAAGGTAAATACTAACTGACATTTTTGGATCACTTGTCAGGGTGGAGCTGAAATATCACAAATTGTTGTTAAGGCCACATCTACCCTCTTCTGATTTCCCTTGCAATGGCAAAAGTAGTTCCCATCATAGTTATATATGTCTTATTTTTGATCACTTCCCATCACTGGTAGTTCCAATCTTTCACCTTGAAGGCCTTTCATTCTAAAAAATGTCTGAATTTACACACAATAATAAAGTGTACTTTTATTAACCAGTTAATAAATTACAGCCAGTGCTCCAAACTTTGGGCCTCTCCAGTTTTTCTAACTGACAAGCTGGGAACAAACATCCACAATGGTTGAGCTGTTTATCATGTATACACAATTTCAATGTAATATACAAAATTGTGACTACTAGACTGGGCCCTAGACTGGTTTACAAAGGTATAACATAAAAATGTTCCTTTATTCCACATCTCCCTTTCTTCCCTACTCAGTTGTTTTCCCCCAAAATAAACAGTCCTCCATTTCTTACGTGTTTTCTAGAAAAATATTTACATCTGAGTATGTTTATTGGTACACACTCAACCCACCCCACTTCCAGATTTCAAATTTATGTAAATGGAATCACATTCCTTCTGCACTTTGTTTCTCACCTAATATTTCTCAGAAATATCCTTGTCAACACCATTCTCTTTAAATAACTGCCTAGATTCCATGTTTGGTATGTATCATGACTCAATTTACCAGGCATCTATTAACAGATAACTAAATTTTTTTTTCCATTGTAAAAAGTTTTGCAGTTAGCTTATTACTGTGTTGGTCTTGAATTTATTTTTAAACTGAATTTTTAGCAGTGGAAGTGGTGAATCAAATAGATGTTCTTTTTTTTTATTTTGGTAAATTTTGCTAAGTTGTGCTTGACAAAAGTAGCACCAATTTGCACTCCCAAAACAATGCATGAGAAGATCTGTGGACTTACACCATTACCAATATTGAATATTATCTTTTTAGTTTTTGCCCATCTAATAGATTATAAATTATATTTTCTGTTTTTGCTTTAATTTGTGTTCATTAGCAAAATTGAACATCATTTTGTATTTATTAGTCATATATGTTTTCTGCCTGACCAAATCCTTTGTCTGTTTTTTTATTGGAATATTCAGCAGTTTTTATTGATATGTAAGGGCTTTTTATAAATTAAGAAAGTTAGCATTTCATAATATATGTTGCAAAATTATTTTCTCAGGTGAAATAATGTTAATTATTATAGCTTTTTCCCCTGTAGAAACATTGAAAATTTTTAATTAGCTATAATCATTAGTGCTTTCATTTGACTTCTGATTGTTGTATCCTACCTAGGAAGTCCTTCTCCACTCCAAATTCATAGGTAAATTTACCTGTCTTTCATTTCATTCATTCATTTTTGTTGATTTTTTTTTTTTTTCATTTTGGATGTTTCATTTTTTACATCAAAATCTTGGTTCAAGAGTGCCTGGGTGATTCAGTTGGTTAATCATCTGACTTTGGCTCAGGTCATGATCTCATGGTTTGTGGGTTCCAGCCCCACATCGGGCTCTATACAGACAACTCAGAGCCTGGAACCTGCATCAGATTCTGTGTCTCTTTCTCTCTCTGCTCCTCCCCTACTTGCACTCTGTCTCTGCTTCTCTCTCAAAAGTAAATAAACATTTAAAAATTAAAAATAAATAAATAAAACCTTGGTTCATCTAAAATTTATTTTAGTGTAGGGAATGAGAAGAAGGATCCAGCTCAAATTGTTTTAACCCAATAACTGCCCAGTTGTTCCTATATCATGTCTATAAATAAGCCAGTAGAAGAAATGACCATGGTTTGAGGTAGGAAGTAATCGCTGATGTACCTGAGACTTGTGGTTTTAGTGCCCATGCACCTTGTTTGTGCAATCAGACCTCCTGTCACTGGCGTGGGTTAAGATTTTATTGGGGCACCTGGGTGGCTCAGTCGGTTAAGCGTCCGACTTCGGCTCAGGTCATGATCTTATGGTTCCAGAGTTCAAGCCCCTAGTTAGGTTCTGTGCTGACAGCTAGCTCAGAGCCTGGAGCCTGCTTCAGATTCTGTATCTCCCTCTCTCTCTGACCCTCCCTTGCTCACACTGTCTCTCTCTCAGAAATAAATAAAACATTTCAAAAAAATTTTTAAAGGATTTTATTTATAGGCAAGACCCCAGATGCTGATTATTTTTTTAAGATTCACAAACACACCGCTAGTCAGAGATGACTATTAGGTGTGAACTTGGATCTGACTCAGTCCAAAGCCCAAGCACTTTCTTTGGGGAGGATTCTGGGAAGACGTCCCAGCAGGTCTGACATTGCTGCTGAACCTAGAAATGGGGTAGAATTTGGAGATGAGGGAGAAGGCTGACATCTTGGGTTGAAGCACATAGATGGGAAAAAACTGCTTTTATGATAAATAACAGGTCAGTTTGGGCAGGAATGGGTTGTGCCAAAAGGGGAGGGGAGATTGGGGAAGTGAGGTTAGAAAAGTAAGTTCCAGCCAGAGTATGCAGTCTTCAATGGCAGGCTAAGGAAATTGGGATTTATCACAGAGGAGAGTATTTTTCATGTGTTGGTATCTGCAAGATCCTTCCTTAAAAATTAAAAAGCTGAAGCAGCACATGGCTGGCTCAGTCGGTAGAGTATGTGACTCTTGATTGTGGGGTCATCAGTTTGAGTCCCACGTTGGGTGTGGAGCCTACTTAAAAAATAAATAAATAAAACATTTTTTAAATTAATAAAAATATGAAACAGAAACCCAAAATGTAAAAGAGACAAAAGAAGAGGCCAGGTTTGTTCATAGGGTTCTTACCTCCTTGTAATGGTTGGGGTGAAGTACAAAGTGCACGGGCTTAGACTGAGTCAGGTCCAGGTTCATATCTAATCTTCAGTGGCTGCCTGATAGAGAAGCTTTCCAAGCAGTGACGCCTCCTGCAAAAATGTCTGACAAGGGTAGTTATGGAGACACCATCAAAGATTCCTCAGTACAAAAACAAGATGGCCCTACCTGTGTGGGAGTAGAATGGCAATCAAAATAATAGACAATATTTATGGAGTATTACCATATGCCACTGCTAGTGCTTTACAAAAATTGTCTCCTTTAAAGCTGACAAATCTTAGTTCTTATCATCACCATTTTAAGGATGAGGAAACTAAAATTTAAGTGCAATAGCTTGCCTAGGTCACAGATCAAGTGGAAGAGTTATGCTTTAAAATAAACATTGGCAGTAGGCTTTGTAAACATATTGTGCTCAGATTTTAGATAAATGGAGAAAATCTGACCCGTGATAATGACAGAGGACAGTCCAATTTTAATGGAGTCAGAAAGCTGCCAGGTTGAGAGACAGGTCTCACATGACAGAAACTTGCTCAAAATGTATTAAAAAGTGCTCTAGCTCTAAGAGTGACTCCGAGTCACTTGGCCAATGTTTCCTCTTATGTGATGACTCCATGATTTAGTGCTTCCTAAGTATAGAATCTTAAACCTGGAAGAGGCCTTAACATAAATTAAGCAAGCATCCTTATTTCACAACAACCATGTTGATCTAGTTAAAATCAAAATTATTTAAAATTCCAAACATTTCTAGTCATTAACAACGTTTAAAAACTGTATATAAGAATACAGGTGGTCACAGCCCTGCATAGAATATTAATGCAAATTGAAAGTGGCAAGGTAGTTTGAGTAGTATCAGTATTAGTGGTGTTAGTAATGGACATGTTTTAATTTATCTACTCTCTCGGCTGTAAGTTCTTTTTCTTAAATTTTTATTTATTTATTTTGAGAGTGAGAGTGAGTGGGGGAAGGGCAGAGAGAGAAGGAGAGAGATTCTCAAGTAGGCTGTCAGCGTTGCCAACACAGAGCCTAAAGCAGGGCAAGAACCTATGAATCGAGAGACCATGACCTGAGCCGAAATCAAGAGTCAGATGCTTAATGGACTGAGCCCCTTGGCTATAAATTCATTCAATTAGGTCTTTTAGTATCTCTACCTATACTTCCTAGTATGTAACAGGCATTGACTATTTGTTGAATCAATACATAATCCCATATTTGGCAGCATGTTATACAGAGCTACAAAATGCTTCTAGACAACTCAGGATTTTACATTTTATATAGCACTTGTATGTTGGTTATTTGCTGGCCAATATGTTAGGGGTAAAAACCATATGTCACACCTGCAGATACATTTTTGTATGACCAGGTAAGTGTTCAAAATAATTTTTAAAAATATATTTAGTCGAGGTTTGCATTCTTTAATTAGCCACAGTCTCTAAAACTCCCTGTCATGTTATGATCTTCTGATCTGTCTCGTGTCTTCTCAGTCTCATTCCATGATTCTGCCCATCGCATCATGTGAATTGCCAAGCAAGGCAGCATCCGGTTGCTCTGTGCAGAACCTAGAGGAATATTACCATAACAAGAGGTATACCTATGAAAAAGAGTCCTAAGGAAAAAAAGAGTTCTAAAACTACTTTTCTTATCTCTCTTCTAGAACGTTTTGTAAAGTCAGGTGTTTAAGTATCACCCATGAATTTCCATCAGATAAGGTTACTCCCTTATTCTGTCAGGAAATGC